TGATCTACCCGCCTCGGCCTCCCAAAGTTCTGGGATTACAGGCAAGTGCCGGGATTACAGGCATGAGCCACCGTGCCCGGCCAAACATTACTTACATCTTAAGATGACACAACACTGAAGTCACACTTCGCTGTCCCAATGAATGCAATGGAAAGTGACATGCACAACGCAGTTTGTTTATATATTCAAATCAGAAAACAGATAAGCTGGGTGGCAGGTGGTGATGTTATTAAAAATAATCAAGAGTTCAGTACAAATTAGTCTGGCAGCCTGTTACAATATGCAATTTATTCTAAAGTACTGTATCACTAGTGTGATATTTTCCAAGGTAAGTTTGAATCCTGAGTGGTCAGCACACATAGTGGCTGCTATCCGATGGGGCAATTCAACACACTGTTAATTAGCACACTGCATATTTAAAAATAGGCTTTTATGGGGAAATTGGCGTCTTGTTAATTGTCATGAGAGGTTCTCGTGGGCAAAATTAAATGCATTCAAGGCTGGCCAGAATAGCTTACTTGACTAGGGTGTAAGAATCCACGAACTCTCCCTTAGTCCCTAGGGACAGCAGCTGAGGCCTGTGTCTGCTGGTCCAGTCCACTTGCCAACTCGGGAGTATTACAGAATCTTACCTCAGTAATATTGCTGCATCTACCTCAAGAAAACCTTATATATAGGGTGTGGTTAGAATATCTACAATGAGAGAGAACTGGGACTCCATCCAGCTTACAGAAGAGGTTGCTTCTGGGCTGGCTTCACTATTAAATGAATATTGATCTCTTATGTGTGAGGCAGATTCTAAATGCTTTCATTCTAATTTGGTAGATTTAAGGGGGCAGGCAGCTCACTCACCAGCTCAGATTGGTCACATGATTGAGCAAAGGCAACAGGCTCAGTGACCTTTGAAAACATTTCAATTGTGTAAGGAAGAAATGCTCTTTTAGAAAATTCTTACAGGGGAGGTCTGTAAAAATCCCAATTAAATAATCGCATCTAAATAATGCTTAGACAAAGCTTCATACCTACTGGGAACTCAAAATATATGAATGAGAGAGACAGCAGGGAACTGATGGCTTATGTAGACAGGGAGGCCAACGTTCTACAGGCTACATGTGCCGTCTGCCAAGGACACAGTTAGATGCTGGGGTCCCTGCGGCCTTTGTGGTTAGCAAAGGCCTCCTTGAAGAGAAACACCATCTTCTAGGCCTGTGGAAAGCAGCCCCGGGCTGTGCACTTGCGGACCACATGGGCTTTCAAATCAAGCATGTGCAACACTCTTCTATACCTGTGCACTATCTAGCTGTACAGCAAGGAAAGTTACCTGGGACAGTCAGACCTAAGGATTCTTTTTAATTGATCTCTTTGGTTGCTGTAAAGTTAACTTACTGAAGTTCACTTGAGGACTTAAGAACATTCTCCTTTGTGATTTGAGGAACCCGTGTTAGGCATTACCCACCTGACAGCAACTAAAATGTGATGTGCATTTGAGGTTCAGGATCAACTTCTCTGGGATGAAACATCTTTCAAAACTTGAATTTGCTAACTAAGTCAAGGAAGTGGTAACAAACAAGTCACATCTTATTCGAGCTCTGCTGCAGGGTTCCTTAAATAATGAATGTATGCATATATAGAACACCGTTTGACAGAGATGGGTTGAAAAACTACAGAAACCAAGAGGCAAGAGTATCAATTAGAAACAAACATTGCATAAGCATGGTTGAAACCGATGAGCACAAGGAATTAGATTTTTACACTATTCTGAAAAACAGTCACTTGAATTTGGCTTTGGAATACTGTGACTTACTCAGATATAGCCATGTTTAATGCCACAGAATTTCATGACACTGTTGCAACCTGAAAGTCTGCAGCCTGCTGCTCCATCCTGCACCCCAACCCTAACCTCTACGTACTCCAGGCTGGACACAGGGCTTCAGTTACTGCTGAGGCTAAAATGAAGAGAGCCTCCTCCCCAGCCTCTTCCCTTCCCCCTGTCCACCCCCATCCCACCTCCAATCTCAAGGAGAGAACTGTTTTAGTACCTAGTTGAGCTTTAGAAAGAGCACAGATAACCATTACCTTTTGCCAGCATGAACACCAACTTTTGCATATAATTCTGGGAAAATTTCATATCTAGTGTTTTTTAAGATGGAGTCTTGCACTGTCGCCCTGGCTGGAGTGCAATGGCATGATCTCGGCTCATTGCAACCTCTGCCTCCCGGGTTCAAATGATTCTCTTGCCTCAGCCTCTGGAGTAGCTGGAATTACAGGCATGCGCCAGCATGCCCAGCTAATTTTTTGTATTTTTTAGTAGGCTTTCACTATGTTGGCCAGGCTGGTCTTGAACTCACAACCTCGTGATCTTCGTGCTTCAGCCTCCCAAAATGCTGGAATTACGGGTGTGAACCACCATGAGCAGCTGTGTTTTAATTTTTACTGCACATGAAACCAATATTGCATGTGCCCTTTAATTGCACATGCAAATAACAGGCATGTCATTTATAGTAAACATTGCTTCAGGGCTTCTCTACAAATCTAATGTTAAAGAGCTTTTAACACCAATTCCATCACCCTGGTTTTTAAACATGCCTGTATCACTAAGCCATGTTAGACCCCTTACAGTAGTGTTAATACTGGTACTGATCAGAGTTACAGGAATCCCATTCAAAAGATCCCAAAAGATCTCCAGCTGCCTGCTACCCTAATCTCTGTCTGTTCTCCTGCCCCCTTATCCTGCTTTCTTATTTGTCCTTAACTAGAGCTATGAACTATTGTGCTTACATGTGTGCTCCTGACATGTGTGCTTACCCCAAGAGCCATGGAGTAATATATAGTATTTGCTGTTGAGGGGCCTAGCTTTTTTCTGGAAACTAAGGCTTGGACTTATCAAGAGGACTCTGAACCTGTTACCCATTCTTTAATTGTGGCCCACAGACCAGAAAAAATACAAAAGCCTGGTGACCTTTGAAACTCTATTAGTGTATTATTGAAATTTCTACTGAGAGGGAAAATGGGGGGCAGGGATAATGGGATGGATTTTTTGGTTACGTCTGTTATTTCTAATAGCGAAATCTGCTATCCTAAACTTCATTTCTCTGGGGGCCACAGCGAGAGGTTTCTCTTACTTTACCTGAGCCTGATTATAAATAAGAATCCACTATTTTGTGAGTAGCAAAACTAGGTTCTACTTCTGTGGATTTTTTTTTTTAAACAAAACAATGCAATATAAATACATAGATTTCATGGTAGCCAACCATAGAAACTATCTTATTTGCAGTCATACAAGGAAGTACAGCTATTTCTATTTGTTCAGAGTTGAAATTAAACTCCTTCCAGAGCACCTTGAGCAGAAAGCTTTAAATGATTTCTAAACAGGAAGTAAAGACAAGCACTGCAGAACATTTATAAACTTATCTCCTACACATTCAAATCTCAATAGAACAAAAACTTCTCAAAATTCAGGATCTGGTCCTTAGAGATTTGAAGGTGCAGCCAAAATAAACAATGGTATATTTTGATTTTGTCTCCTGTCCATCAAAGTCTTTGCCATTGATTTTTATTCAGTAGTACATCCAGTAATAAGCTTTTGATTCAGAACTAAAGAAAAAGGACACAAGAATTTCAAGGGCTTGAATATATTTTTATATTGATATTCTGTGTCTTTCTACCCTAAAATAATACATTATTGATTACATACAGGATGAGATGAGGTATTTGTAAAATATCTGGTAAAAAATAATTAATATACAGTATTCTACATGAGATGGAATCTTATGAATCTTTAGGTCTTCTGAAGTGTTAAAGTGATCATCTAAATTAAACTGCTCCCTAAAACCATGTTAAAAAATGAAGGCTCTTACATTTTCCCAGAATTTGTGCAGAAAAGGGAAAAGTACATAATTGGCATTTCTCACATCCAAAATAATGCATTCACACAAAACCAGGATCTCCCATATTTAGCATAAAAAGAAAAAGAATACTGAATTAGAGATATAAAATCTCTGAGTAATGGTTAGGTTACCAACATTAAAGAAATTCAAGTGGTCAACAGTCTTGAAAATGCTTTATTGAAATGTGTGACTTATGTGCAGATGTGTTTGAAAAGACCACAGCTTGAAAACTGATTTTTGAAACGTCTCAACAACCAATTGAAGAAAAAAAAAAAAAAATGAAAATGAAAATCCCTAATGGACTTGACTTCTAGTGTAAACAGAAGCCTGGTGTAAAGTTTTCCTTTAAACATTTTCCATGACAGAAACTAAAGAAAACAAAGCTATATTTGGAGTCTGAAGTTTCAGAGGAGAAGCAACAGTTTTTCAGACATGTAGGGTGACTTCTTTTTTGGTTACATTTGGATGAACATGGACTTCACAGTTCTCGGAAGAACACCGGAGGGGTGTTCAAGTCTGTATGCTTGTCATGTTGAAGAAACGGAGATACACGACAGGAAAGGAAAAGGATGACGGGAGAAAGAGAGGAAACTGAGAAAAGGGCTCAGAAAAGAGAACTGGAACGCGACATGATTAGGTTAAGTCTAGTTATAAATTTATCAGAAGCTGTGCGCACCTTTTTAAAAGTCCTAAATTTACATTCCAAAAACTGCCCTCCCAACCCCCAAACCCACTGTCCCTGCCTTGGAGCTATTGTGAAAGTCTATGCACAAAAACCGAAACAGGAAATAAAAAATAACCCAGCCCTTCCAAACCCCAAAACAAACCCAAAAAGAGCTGTACATTTTTTTTTGCACATAGGATTAATAATATAGGCATATGTGGCATGATTCAATTAAAAGGCTTTACTTTTTATGCCAGAAAAAAACCCAATAAATAAAAGGTGCTAAAATTAGCATTAAGAATTTTGTTGTAATAGATTGACAAATCTGGGAAGGCAAATCCTCAAAGCTCCCCTGATACTGATCTGTCTCAGCAAACTACAAAGCAAATACATAAATAACGCAAAATATGATTGAGAATGTGAGATTTTTAAAAACAAAGACAACATAATTCAGGTTAACTCTGTTGAACAAATGAAATTCATCTATACCTGAATAAAACATATTTAACAATTGAAAAAATTTTAAACAACCACAAAAAGTAAAAACTTTAAACAAACATGAACAGGATTTGTTTTTGGGGCACACAAAGGCCCCTGCAGCAGATTCCAACAGTAGCTTTACTGGTGTGTCTTCTACAGATGAGTTAAAGAGACAGGCTGAGCTCCACACAGGCAAGATGACTAACAGGGCGACAGGACAGTCACACAGGGCGGAGTGCCACACCCGGCTACAATCCCCAGATTCCACTGCAGAGCTGGCTTTGTGCGTAGGAGGCACACAAAGAAAGGTGATTCAGGCAGATATTATTCAAAAGCTACTTCGCAGTGTAACCATTGAATAATGTTTGGGAAAGCTTTGGGCTTTGTATTTTTTTTTTTTAAGTTTTACTCCTTGTATTTAATTTTTTAAATAACAAGGTCACTAAAACTCATGCACGCTGCAAAAAACCTCATGCAGTAGTTAAGGTAAACCATCCAAGCAGTTTTTATTCATTAATATTCATAAATACACACAGCAGCTTCATTAGAGATTTCAATTTTCCTCTTCAGTTTGAATGTGGAATATTAGGAGAGCCTTTTGCATGTCAAGGTACAGGAAGCAGAGATCACCCCTGCACTGCTACCTACATTTACCTGCTAGAAGTAAAAATTAGTTAAGTGGAAATGATTATCATATATATTTTCTCTCTTCCTTTTGAATGTACACAATGTAACAAGAGTGACAGACCTGAAATTACAATCACCAAACAAACCCAAGATAGTTGTTGTCCACTTTCATTGGCAAATACAGCACAGAGGACATTGTCTGCGAATTGGGATGTCATCAAAGAGGAGGTGGTGGAGGCTCATTTCCTTTATTACTCTCTTTTAAATTTAGGTTTTCTAAAGCAACATCTAAAGGCATAATATCTACACAGCCCATAGCACCAAAATCTGCCATCTCCCCCCGATCATCCTCGTCTGAGGACGAGCTCTCTTCACGCACTAAAGTGGACAGAAGGAGCTCTTGGACAAACAGGCTGCGGTCCGCGCGCTCGCTTTCCATGGACTGGCGCTCCGTTTCAGACATTTTAGGATCATTCAACCTGTGTAGTTAAAAAGAAAAGACCTCATTGGTAAAAAGTCAATGAACAATGGCATGGCCAATGTCTACAGTACTCTCCACTGTGCAAGTTTTACAGGTGGCAAAATTCAGAATAAGACATTGCTGGAATACCTGGCTCTAATTTATCCTCAATTGTGTTGAGAAGAATTCCTCACACTTTTTCCAATACTGTTACCTGAAAGTGCAAATCTATGCTTTAGACTCAATGAGGAAAAAAAAAAAACCCACACATTTAGACTTTTCCCACTCCAGAGAAAACTAGGTGAAAATTTTCTGAGGAAAACAGGATTTCTTATAGATTAGATGCTTGGGAAAGTATCTAACCAGAATTTCATCTGGGGGTAAATAAAAAAAAGAAAGTAAAACACAAAAACAAAATCTACAGTCAACAGAATATTCAACTGAAAAACATCCTAAAATTTCCTCTGACGTTTTTCTATTACTGTATTTAATTCTTCCTGTATATCCAGAGCCAGAGAGAGCAAGAAAACACACACAATCTTCTACATTTCTCCTACCAAGAACCTACAATGTAGCAGGGTAGACACAAGGTCCACCTGCCTGACTTGCTCACCTGATGTATGCACTTAGGACAGCTGGGCTATGCTGGGAAACTTGGCTCATCTGCAGAGACTGGACAGATGGTTAAGAATTGAAAATTCTACTTACCACTTGTTACTAAACTAGTTAAATTACTTTAAAATGTCAGTTTCTGGCTGGGCGCGGTGGCTCACGCCTGTAATGCCAATACTTTGGGAGGCCAAGGCGGGTGGATCACCTGAGGTCAGGAGTTCAAGACTAGCCTGGCCAATACCGCCTCTATTAAAAATACAAAAATTAGCAGGGTATGGTGGTGCACACCTGTAATCCAAGCTACTTGGGAGGTTGAGGCATGGAACTGCTTGAGCCCGAGAGGTTACAGTGAGCTGAGATTGCGCCACTGCACTCCAGCCTGGGCAACAGAGTGAGACTCTGTCCTCTTCACCCCCCCACCCCCTGCAAAAAAACCAGTCAATCTCCAACCAAAAATGATGCAAAATTCTGCTTAGTTTCTATACTGATTTCCTCTACACTTTCAGTGGCAAATAAAGGGAAATTAACAAGCAATGGGGCAGCAAAAGGAACAACGCGGGAGAAGATGGGTACACTGAAAGGAGGCCTGGCAGGCACACGACAGGTCTTCTCCCTGAGGACCTAGAGGCAGCACCTTGAGCCCAGAGACAGATATACTCCATGCTCCCTTACTGCCTGGCACCTGCTTCCTGCTGTCCTACCAGCACTGCAAGGCACAGGAGCATCTCCAAGTCACCATGGACGATACTAATGATAGGTCAGGCTCTGAGCGCTCTTTGAGTGCATTAGTTCATTTAACTCCTCTGAGTTAGGGCCTATTATCATTAACATTTTACAGGAAGAGGAAACTGAAGCAAAGGTTAAGTAATTTGCACAAAACCTCATAGATGCTAAGTTCAAAACCACTGAATAATTAGGTATCTATGACTAAGAAAACAAAAGATCAATTTCAGAACTGAAGGAAAGCAAAAATATCTGGAAGGTAATTACAGAAAAGCCATAAAATCCATATTGAAAAAAATGACTGATTACATTGATGGTTAAAAACAAATTAAGAATATCGTAAGAGAGTATCTAATAGAATAGAAGACTGAGTAGACTACATGTTCTCAACGCAAAGCTATAAAAATGTTACGAACTGAAGTACATTCCATGTTCTTAGCTTTGGAAAAGGACTTTGGTAAAGAAAACTCTAGAGAAGTTAAACGTATAACAGAAAGATAAAGGATATATAGAAGACTCCCCATGTAATAATGAGGCAAACTAAGAACATACAGGCTGGAGCCTGCAGCCCTTGAGAGAGCATGCAGTAACAATATTACTGTTTTGATTTTTGTGGAAATAACTGAGAACACACCTCATTCCTGAAAGGCAGATCAAGTCTATGTATGAGGTACTGGTACTAGGTCTTAATTTCCTGATAAAATATAAAATTTAGGATATAAATGGAACTGCAAGGCTTGTGAGGATCTTCAAGTTGGGGTTAGCAAAATGAGCTGGTCCCACTGTCAAAAGACCAGATCTGGCTGGGCATGGTGACTCATGCCTTTGTAATCCCAGCACTTTGTGAGGCCGACATGGGTGGATCACAAGTTAGGAGTTCAAGACCAGCCTGGCCAATATGGTGAAACCCTCTCTCTGCTAAAAATATGAAAATTATTTGGGCATGGTGGCGGGCTCCTGTAGTCCAAGCCATTTGGGAAGCTAGGACAGGAGAATTGCTTAAACCCGGGGGGCGGAGGCTGCAGTGAGCTGAGATTGCGCCACTGCACTCCAGCCTGGGCCACAACAGCAAAACTCTGTCTCAAAAAAAAAAAAAAAAAAGACGGGATCTGACTTACACACTCCAACAATCAATTTCTAAAGGTCAACTATCTTAGATTCCAAAGAAACTGTGGTCTTACCATCAGTTCCAGGGTAGCATGAATAGGAACTGCCCCTGGTCAAAGAAAAGACCAAAAATAAGGCTTGAGCTCTCTAAATATCATATACTAGCTGTGTGACCAGAGACCAGATCTCCCCTGCATACACTGCAGCCATTTGCCTTGCCTTGAAAATTCACAGTGCATATTAATATGTCTGAAAGTTCTGAGAAACCCAACAGTAAATAATCTCTTTATTTTTCTTACTTTGCTTTCTATAACCTTATTATAATTGGGGATGGAAGAACATAAGTAATTACATATATTCCTTAGAATGAAGTTAAGAGAGTACTTCTGGGGAAGTGTTGCCTAAATCCTGTGAATATGATGCAATAAAAGATGTGGAAAGTGGTCCACAAATTGCATGGCAACATGCAATGTACAGTATCAGATGATGGAAGGGAGCTTTCAAGAAGCTACAACCAGAATCCAAGGAGAGGACTCAGAGGTCACTCATAAGCTCTGAGAGTTGGATGTGGAATAAACAGATCAAGTACTAGTAGTAGCAGTTCAGTAGTTTGGAGCCTTAAAAAAAAAAAAAAGAATAGTGCAAGGGTGGATGGGAAGATGTCTTTTCCAAAGGGCACTGACAAGACATTCCATCCACAGTTCTGTGAACTCTCGGTAGAAATGCACACTGGTAGATCTCCTTTTTGAGGAAGGGACCTATATCTGGCATGTTACAGACCTGCTGCTGGTCAGTCCCTATGGGTATGGCAACATGGTGGCAGGTAGCTCCATCTGTGGCTCTGTGATTTTTCTTACATTAAAGCAGCATTTCCTGGTAATAACCAGGCAGAGTTGCTGACCTTGCAGAGATTCTTTAAAGGTAAATTCCCCATTTAAAATTTTTCCTTGATTTCATAACAAATAACGAGTATCATTAATTGTGCCTTTATTCTAGGCCAGATACCGAGCCAGACCATACACATAGCAGTATTTCATTTAATCCTCAAAATAATTCTCTTTCTAGAGGCAAAACTTCTAGGAGACTGATGATAAAATTGAAGTTTGGAGAAATGAAATGACTTGCCTGAGGTCCAAAACTTGTAAGTGGCAAAGCTGGGGCACTAGCTCAGGGATTTTCAAGCGTTTTTTATTATGTACCCATAATATGTTATTTATAACTATACACATGCACCATTGTATTAACAGAGTATGAGATAAAGTAGAAATTATATTTTCTTCTAAAATCCCAATGAATCGTCATACACACTGCATTTTGGAGACAATGATGTTAACGTTATTCTTCATTTTACAGTTCTTTCTTTATATTCCTCTCTGCTTCCTTAAAAGCCCAAATTATTTCAGGTTCATTATCTGTTGAGCCTAAGTCTCTACTTATCATTGCTTTCTTTGAAACCTTTTTTTTATTCCTAAAAGTCACATAAAATGCCTGGGAAGTTTTGGCAGACAAATACATGTAGCTGCTAACAGTTCCAGAAGCAAACAAGAACTCCATCCAGTAGAGTAGTTTACTGTTGTACTGAATATGATTTATACCATGGGAAGCCATTTTTTTTTAAGTTACTTTTGTGTGCCAACCATAGGAATTTAAATCTAGCTTTTTTAGAAGTACACAGGAGAAAACTGCCACTGCATTATGAAATCTTTCTTATACCTTTTAATATTTCACAACAGATTAAAATTGGCAATAAAAAGCAATGTTAATTATGATAAATGCACCTAATACGAACCATATATATATATAAAATGATAGAGTGTTAAGATTTATGGGTACTATGGCAAAACAATTCACATTACATGATGATATATACCTTGAGAACAAGATGATCAGTTATATTATTTTAGAGACAGGGTATCACTCTGTCACCCTGAAGTGGTTGGCATCAGGCTGAAGTGCACGGTGCAGTCTTGGCTCACTGCAACCTCTGCCTCCAGGGCTCATGTGATCCTCCCGCCTCAGCCTCCTGAGTAGTGGGGACTTCATGTGCACATCTGGCTAATTTTTGTATTTTTGTAGAGATAAGATTTACCGTGCAGCCCAGGCTGGTCTGAAATTCCTAGGCTCAGGCGATCTGCTTGCCTTGGTCTCCCAAAGTGCTGGGATTACAGGTGTGAGCCACTGCATCTGGCCCAATATTCTTAATTTATCTAAAATAATTATTATGTTTCACATTCTTGGGGAAATATTGAATATGCAGTTTTAATCAGAGATCTGTGAGTTTTAATCAAACACAGAATTTTCAAGAAATATATATGCACAAAAGAGAAAAGATAATTCCAGATTGTATAGTGGCAATAAAATATTACTTTCCAAACAAAATTCTATCAAGAAATGAGCTACCTTGTTAAAAGAAACTGGGAATTCTGGAGAGTCTGCTGACTGCTTTCTGTATTAGCTATGTTGGTTGTTGCTGTGGATTGTGTGATTGTAGTGGTGACACTGCTTGTGTTAGTACGCCGGGTTGCGTTGCGTGCGGTCTCCAGTTGTTGCCGTGCTGCCTGGGCATGCTGCCGTTCTAGCTGCAGCTGCATCTGCAGTTGTTGTAACTGAGAAGCGGAAGGGCCAGAGGAATTAAGCTGTCCTCCTGCAGAACGTCTCACTCCAGATAACTGAGATAAAAGCTCTGCCAATGGAAACAGAGACAGTTAATGTCTGCTTAATACTGAGGAAAACAAAATGCTACAGAGATCACTCTTTTACTGGAAGAACATCAAAGGCACTGTGAACAAGTAGGTAACCACAGCAGCATACAGTTCAGCTAAGAGCTGAATACCTTCTAGAATGCCTCCTGGAGGCAGGAGTTACTGTGTACAGGGAATGCAAATGCGTACGAATATTAACCCAGACCCAATTATGTTTGCCTTAGGCAAAACTCAGATTATCTTTAAAATTATTTGCATAATAGACTAATTTAGTTAAGCTTCCTCTTAGTATTTAATGAAGTGGTTTATCCATGGGCCCAATTACAATAAAAGCTCTCTCAACATGTGATCCATGGAAGCAGGGATGAGGTCTACTGTTTACTATATTCCTAGCTCTCAGAACAGGGCCTGATATATAGTAGGAATTCAGACATTTACTAAATGACTGAATGAATTATTAGGATTCAGTCCAAGAGGCCTGGATCATTTTTGATGGTGGCCCTTGCACACTCACCTCTGCCTTCCCCCTCAAGTACCTTCTGGTACTGCTGTTTCAGAGTATGCTGTAGAGGGACCACTAGCAGTGCTCAGTAAGGCTGATTAGCTCCCAAGAACCTGTTACATTTGACTGTACAGCCTAATTAGTGGCCTGTTATGATCCAGACTGCCTTGTGTCCGTAAAGCTGTACTCATTAAGAGAGGTGTAAACCTTTGTCCCCGCATCCTCATCTAAGTAAGGAGCAGTGAAATGCCTTCTTCCATGTGGAGGGTCTACCTACCTTACAGGGAACCAATGACTGCCTTGCAGACACTCTTAGGCCAGCCAAAACTCTTTTTTTTTTTTTTTTTTTTTTTTTGTGAGACAGAGTTTCGCTCTTGTTACCCAGGCTGGAGTGCAATGGCGCAATCTCGGCTCACCACAACTTCCGCCCCCTGGGTTCAGGCAATTCTCCTGCCTCAACCTCCTGAGTAGCTGAGATACAGGCACGTGCCACCATGCCCAGCTAATGTTTTTTGTATTTTTAGTAGAGACGGGGTTTCACCATGTTGACCAGGATGGTCTCGATCTCTTGACCTCGTGATCCACCCGCCTCGGCCTCCCAAAGTGCTGGGATTACAGGCTTGAGCCACCGCGCCCGGCCAAAACTCTTTATCATTAAAACTCATTAAAAGTTTCTGTTTTCTTGCTCACTGTTGCTTTATCCCAGGCTTTTTATAGCACCCTTATACCACTCTTTCATGGAATATACAGTCTATCACTAAAATAAACTGATTTTCACTGACAGAAAAAGAATCAAATGAAGAGAATTTCTCAATTTTGAATTTTGCTCCCAGAAACTAATTTTTAGTGTCTGCCAACAAAATAGCAGGTAAATATTCCCTTTGGATGAAGAAATATTTTTTAAATCCCCCGAATTCAGTTTACTAGGCTTGTTTTTGTCGTTGCACACCCAAATGTCCAAAGCACATTTGGAATTAAAATTTTATAGATCTAACTTTTAAATAACATGTTAGGTGTAAAACTGTTCTTAGGTTTTTTATTATTTTAATTTTAGGTTTGGGGTACATGTGAAGGTCTGTGACACACTTAAACACGTCATGGGGGTTTGCTGTACTTACCACCCAGTACCCAATTAAGCACAGTGCCCAACAGTTAACTTTTTGCTCCCCTTTCCCCTCCCATTCTCCTCCAGTGTCTGTGTCTCTTCCTTTGTGTTCCTAAGTTGTCATTTAGCTCTGATGTTCTCAGTTTGGGTGTCTCATGGCTTCCAGGTAGGTGCACACTTTACCACATGGACACATTTCAGAACTGTTGCTTTAAATTTGCGCACACTTCCCACAGTCTTACCACTTGTCTGCCTGGTGTGTCTTGCAGATTGTCAGACTACAGTAATTTCTGGTATTTTATTTTGATCCTGTGTTCTGCTACCAACTACCCAGGTTTGTCATGTACTAGACTCAGTGACATGCCAGGTTCAAACACTGTTTTTTTTTTAGTTAGATTTTTCCCAAGTTATTAAAACATATAACTTTCTACAACAATACAGTTCTCAAATCAAAGTCAACACAGAAAGTCCTACTGTCCTTTTTTCCATGAGAAGAGCTTAATTCTTTAGTCTTGTCAGTTAGCTACAGATAACAGTTCTGAAATGTGTCCATGTGGTGGAATGTGTACCTGGAAGCCACGAGGCACCCTGCACAACACCCTGCACAACACCCCAAACATTGACAGGCATAAATCTTGACAGAAACTAAAAACAATTTTATACATAACATGTTCTTAAAAATGTTAGCTATACCTTATAAAACCTTAATTCCAAATGTGCTTTTGACATTTTTTATGTGTATTTATGGAGGTTTGACCATGACATTTTGGAGATATTCCAACTTAAATCTTTTATGATTTTCTTGGGCTTCAATAGAGGCCACAAATAAAACATAAAAACATTTCTTATCATCTTATGACTCTAAGAACAGTAATCTCCGGCCGGGCGTGGTGGCTCAAGCCTGTAATCCCAGCACTTTGGGAGGCCAAGGCGGGTGGATCACGAGGTCAAGAGATCGAGACCATCCTGGTCAACATGGTGAAACCCCGTCTCTACTAAAAATACAAAAAACATTAGCTGGGCATGGTGGCGCGTGCCTGTAATCCCAGCTACTCAGGAGGCTAAGGCAGGAGAATTGCCTGAACCCAGGAGACGGAGGTTGCGGTGAGCCGAGATCGCGCCATTGCACTCCAGCCTGGGTAACATGAGTGAAACTCCGTCTCCAAAAAAAAAAAAAAAAAAAAAAAGAACAGTAATCTCCTTTTACCTACAGGAGATATGTTCTAAGACCCCCAGTGAATGACTGAAACGGACATCTGGGTAATACCGAACCCTACGTATGCTATGCTTTTTTCTGTACATACATACTTGTGTTAAAGTTTAATTTATAAATTAGGCACAGTAAGAGATTCACAACAATAAAATAGAGTAAATCTAAAAATATACTATGAAAAGGCAGGGCGTGGCAGCTCACTCCTGTAATCCCAGCACTTTGGGAGGCTGAGGTGGGCGGATCACCTGAGGTCAGGCGTTTGAGACCAGCCTGACCAAGATGGAGAAAGCCCGTCTCTACTAAAAATACAAAAGTAGCCAGGCATAGTGGCTCATGCCTGCAATCTCAGCTACTCCAGAGGCTGAGGCAGGAGAACTGCATGAACCCAGGAAGCGGAGGTTGCAGTGAGCCAACATCACGCCATTGCACTCCAGCCTGGGCAATAAGAGTGAAACTCCTCTCAAAACAAAACAAAACAAAACAATATACTATGAAAGTTATGTAATGTGGTCTCTCTCTCTCAAAGTATCTTATTGTCCTGGACACACCTATTTTTTGACTGTAGTTGATTGTGGGTGAATGAAACCCGGGAGAGCAAAACCACATATGAGAGGGTTACTACTGGACTTAAATAATGCCAGGAGAGTATGAATTATTTCATGTTAAGTGTCTGCTTTTAAGATATTTTACACTTATAAAGTATTTGAAAATTTTCTGAAAGAACATGGGCTTATGATCAGAGAGGTAAGAGTAAGAACATAAATCTCACAAAAAGTATGTACGTACGTATGTATGTATGTATTTATTTATTTGAGACAGGGTCTCGCTCCATCACCCAGGCTGGAGTGCAGTGGTGCGATTTCGGCTCCCTGGAACCTCCGCCTTCCAGGCTCAAGGAATTCTCATGCCTCAGCCTCCTGAGTAGCTGTGAGAGTAGCTGTGATTACAAGTGCTCACCACCACACCCAGCTAATTTTTGTATTTTTAGTAGAGATGGAGTTTCGCCATGTTGGCCAGACTGATCTCGAATTCCTGGCCTCAAGTAATCCACCTGCTCCAGCCTCCCAGAGTGCTGGGATTAAAGGCGTGGGCCACCGCAGCTGGCATCACAAAAAGTTTTAAAAGGAGCTCCCCTTTCCCTTGTCATTTCCCTTATTAATGTGAAACTAACTTACCAGCTATAGGATCCATGGCTTCCCTATTGCTTGGAGAATATGAACTCTGAGAAGAAGAAAGTCCACCAGTAGAACTGCTAGTAAAGTGCATGTTTGATCTACGAGCACGAGGACCTCCTAATCCCCGGCCAGGGTGAAACATTCTACGTACATGTCGAACACCACTCGATTCATCATAACTCAAAAGTTAAGAAAACAACGAAAGTATTTCATAGAAAGAAAAAAAAAATCACTTGAGCCCTTGCTAGACAGTTATCAAGATTTCCTAAATTGTAATCATTTAAAAACAGCACATTTAATTTAAAGTGCAAATGTCCCAACTCTACCTATGAGGGCTATTAACCCTAAAAAGACACTCAAATGGGCCGGGCGCGGTGGCTCAAGCCTGTAATCCCAGCACTTTGGGAGGCCGAGGCGGGTGGATCACGAGGTCAGGAGATCGAGACCATCCTGGTCAACATGGTGAAACCCCGTCTCTACTAAAAATACAAAAAACATTAGCTGGGCATGGTGGCGCGTGCCTGTAATCCCAGCTACTGAGGAGGTTGAGGCAGGAGAATTGCCTGAACCCAGGAGGCGGAGGTTGCGGTGAGCCGAGATCGCACCATTGCACTCCAGCCTGGGTAACAAGAGTGAAACTCCGTCTCAAAAAGACACTCAAATGTAAGGCAACACGTGAGTGTATGTACTGGGTGTGTGAGGTAAGAAAGTTTCTCTATATAACTCATGAAATCTCAATTACCATCTATAATGAAAAAGAAACAATAAGGAATTTAAATTCAGCAGACCAAAGATTCCTTTTGGATTATTAGTTTTAATCTGTCTTCAAGCTTCTTTCCAATGCTGCTGCTGCTGCTAAGCAGAAAAGAGATTTGCATTTCTTGTGTAAGACAGAGAGATTAACATGACATTTATCACGAAGTCAAATTGCCAGCAGCCTCAACCATCTTACACAGCTGAGTGCGAGCTGAACTGAAAAAGGTCCTGAGTCACAAAGAACTGTCAAAACTCATGAAGACAGCCCTATGTTTCCACAAAAGCAAACGAGAGGTGGAGGAGGCCAGATCACATAGAAGAAATTTTTCCTTTAAGGCATCAAACAGACCAGCTTTATAATGCAGATTTTTTTTTTTTTTTTGCTGGCTTCTCAGTTTTTCAGCTGATGGTTCTTAAGTTATTTAAGGACCGGACGGGTAGCTCCAGGAGGCCTTCAGGTATCACCGTCCATGCAGTGTTCCATCACATTCATGAGGATGGTTTGGGTTCTAAAGAAAATAATATGATGATTATATTTGTATATTTGATAATTTATATGATTTTATATATATATATGTGTGTGTGTGTATATATATATATATATATATATGCATATACGTGTGTGTGTGTGTGTGTGTGTGTGTGTATATATATATATATATATATATATGTATTTTGAGATAGGGTCTCACTTTGTTGCCAGGCTGGAGTGCAATGGTGCAATCATAGGTGACTGTAGCCTTGAGCTCATGGGTTCAAGCTATCCTCCTACCTCAACCTCTTGAGTAGCTGGGACCAAAGGTATGTGCCACCATGCCCAGCTCATTATTTTGGTAGAGACGAGGTCTTCCTATTTGCCCAGTCTGGTTTCAAACTTCTGGGTTCAAGTGATCTTCCCACCTCAGCCTTTCAAAGTGCTGGGAGTATAGGTGTGAGTTACTGCACCCAGGCAGTGATAGTTTTAGAAGAACAATTCATAACCTGAAACCAGAAGCACTGAGTCCACCAAATTAAGTAGGCCAGTAATCTGAGGGAACATTGCCAGGAACTGTTGAGAGACAGGGAAGGGAATGCAGAAACAAAAGCAGGAGGCGGGGCACAGTGGCTCATGCCTGTAATCCCAGCACTTTAGGAAGCTGAAGCAGGTGGATCACCTGAGGTCAGGAGTTTGAGACCAGCCTGGCCAACATGGTGAAACCTTGTCTCTACTAAAAAATACAAAAATTAGCTGGGCGTAAAGACTTAAGTGATTCTCCTTTCCAGCTTCCCAGCTACATGGGAAGCTGAGGCAGGAGAATCGCTTGAACCCAGGAGGCAAAGGTTGCAGTGAGCTGAGATTGTGCCACTGCACTCCACTCCAGCCTGGGTGACAAGAGCAAGACTCTGTCTAAAAAAAAAAAAAAGAAAAAAAGAAATTAAAACTAGGCCTGACCTTGTGCTATTCTACTCAGGAACTGGGCAGCAAATGGCTCTCTCCGGAGAATGGGACCCCAAAAAAGAAAGGAATACCAAGATGCACAACTGTCCCCACCATCCCACCACACCACACCCACAACAGGGTAAGGCAGCGGAGGAACTGAGAGGGAGAGCAAATAATGGCTTTTCATACTTAACTAATTAAATTTTAATTTGGATTAACATTTTCCGCATTTGCATGAAAAGGTTATCCTGGAAGACATCATCTAGTCAAATTGCCTTAAAAAAAAATCTAATTGTAATGAACTAAAGATGAAGGGCAAGTCAACTTTCACTTAATGAAAATGATTCATATAATAGTGATAGTATATAAAAAGAGAAATAAATTGCATCTCAACACTGAGTCACTTTTAGGAAAAGTTCAAATAAGTAAAAATAATTTGGAGATTAGTTTTCCTCTTTTTGGGGATACTATCCTTAAAAATAAATAAAATGACAAGCTGGATACAGTGGCAAGTGTATGCCTATAGTCCCAGCTACTCAAGGGGCTGAAGCAGGAGGATCACTTGAGCTCAGAAATTTGAGACCAGACAGGTTGACATAGTGAGATCCTGTCTCCAAAACAGAAAAATCAAAATGACAAACATTACAAACAACTCTTTTCCTTGTCATCTCTTAAAAGGATATTAAATCTCTAGGGGCTCTGTGTTCAAGTGTAAGATGAGCTGCAAAGTCATCCGTGACATGATTAGGATCGCCTCCAGGTAATGCTGCACATATTGGACAAATCTGAAATGGAAGTAAAGAAAGCAGGCTTAATAAATGAACATCAATAAGACATCTTTCCGGACGAGTATTCTGCTCTAAGTTTTACTATTAGCAAGTTGTAACCAATAAAAAACACAGCAGATCTTCAATTAGGGAAAAGCAGAAGCCTAAAACTGTTCACACAAGGTCCCTCAGGGTCAAACACAACAGTTTCACACACACTAAACTTGATCTCTGGCAGGGCCTTCTAACAGTTTGCCTGATTCATTTGCATAGTCTAGCAAAATAGTTTCCATTAAAAAAACTTTAAAATGTGCCATTTAGTGCACATTTATGTTTAATTCTAATCTTGAATGGTAAAGACCGATATAAGCCTATGGCACAGCTCTCCAAAGTAAGCTATACTTGAGAACCAATTCTCAAATAAGACAGCAGAGGTCTGATTAAATCCAACTGTGCAAACATATATCTGTTGAATGTAAGACAAATTATGATTACCGATAATATGCAAATGTGCTCTATAAATTCATGACCATGACTTCCAAGGGGAATATAATATGTAAGCCCATTTTTAAATCTTATTTCCTAAAGAAATGGGTGATAGGGCAGAAGCTTGTGACCAGGTCAGGCTCAAGAAGTAGAAGATCAACTTTCCATGGGCCTTTCAGTAAGACATAGGAGAAAGTAGGAATAAAATGGTGTCTACACAATCAAGGTTCAGGGAGTGGATGACAGGTTGGGAAGGTGGTTTCTATAGTTAACAAAATTGGTAAAACAGAGGGAAGGAGAGGGGAAGGCTAGAAAGAATGAGGAACTTTTTAAAGAGGAAAGGCCTTTACTCTTCTGAAATCCAAATGGGCAGATAATGGTCTAACAGTGGTAGCCAAGCCTTGAAGTATGAACAACTTCAATCTTAGGGCCAAGAAGAAATGTCAGAAGCAAGTGACATGACCAAAGGGAGCCCCACGAAGTACACAGTTAAAGTGGTAGACTTGTATTTATAGCCATAAGAGGGTTAAAGACAGGATATATGATTCATCTTGCCAGTCCATGTGCAAAATCCTTTCACCTAGGCAAAATCTAGGCAATCAGTCGACCTCACTGTTTGCTGACGGCACAGTGGGAGTAGGTGGTAGCGCTGGAGAGGAGGGCAGATGGGAAAGGTGAGACTTGGAGGGACAATTCTAGGGTATGGAGGGAAAACAAACTGCTCTGATTCCTGGAACCCAAACAAACGTAACTTCCCATCTTCTAACAACCAGAAAGCAGATGTCCCCTGAGAGTTCAACTCTGATTTGATACCAGTCTCTCTTATGCCTAATGAGCTGTCCTGATCATGTGACTCAGGACTCTCAGAAATATTCTCAGGAAAACCTAAACATGTTCATGAGAGATAACATTTAAGCATTACAGTGTGCAAAAGAACTAGAGAGGTCACAATGGAATGTGATGAGGCAAACAAGAAAAAGAAGTAAATAGACATGCCTATGCCTTCTTAGAAGATACCAGAGATTCTTTCCTCTGTCAGAAAGGTAGCTGTATCTGTTCACAAGTTTACAGATTATCAACTCTCTATTAGGAATTTATATTTTACCATCGGTACCATTCTGGTACTCTGACATTACTTGGTAGTAGGTGATATACATATTTTACTTTTCGTGTACTTCTGTGTTACCTAGCTAAATTGTAAACTCTTTGAGAGATGCAGGACAGTATGATTTGTTTTTAGTTTTAAATTCCGGCCAGACTTGCTTTTAAAAAAAGAAAAAAGAAAAAAAAAAAAAAAAAAAAGACCAGCAATGTTTGGAGAAACAGAAAAAAAATTCCAGTTATTTAAAAATAAAAGAAACAAGCCACCTTAGAGACTCATTTTGAAAACATTAACAAGAGATAGGTTATAGTTTTATTACAATATTATAAAGCTGTATACCATTTTTATTTAAAGAGAAAATCACCACCATAAAGGAAAAAGGCATCTTTCTTTTAAGATAGTTTGCTTTAGGTTGGCCTTTTGGTAAAATCTATAGAAAACCTGAGCTATATAAATATAGCTGCAGAGGCTTCAGTACTTAAGGGGGCATAAAAATGTTGGTAGATGAGAAGTCTCCATAAGGATATAGATTCCTAGAAGGAACAGAATGGGAAACACCGATACCAAAAGTACTAAGAATGTCCTAATAAGATAGATAATTTAACAATTAGAAAAGCACCTCTGAGACGAGGATGTAAAATAAAAAGAATGTCAAGATCCTTCCATATTGTGTATTGGCTTTGGTTCTATACTCAAAATCTTTTTTATTTCATTGGAGTAGCTCTGCTAAGATGGCAGGATGAAGGTATTCAGAACTGCTTCATTCAGAGAGAAATAATATAAAACTAACCAACCAACCAAACTTTCGTAATGACTAGGGATAAAGAATTACTAAGGACAAGAAATTAACTGTGGTGGGAGGATCACCCAGGTTGACAGTTGGCATAGAAAATCAAGAGGCTAGATTGAGAAGTGAGTGGAAGATGTTACCACACTTGGGCCACATAAAGTTAACTCAGATGAGGACTTGGAAAGGAAAACTAAGCTCAGATGCTGATGCAACCACAGAGGCACGGTCATCTTTTAGGTTTTACTTTTTTTTTTTTTTTTTTTTTTGAGACAAAGTCTCGCTCTGTCACCAGGCTGGAGTTCAGTGGTGCCATCTCGGCTCACTACAACCTCTGCCTCCCAGGTTTAAGCGATTCATTTCCCAGTCCAGGGTAGCTGGGACTACAGGCGCACACCACTACACCCAGCTAGCTTTTGTATTTTTAGTAGAGACGGGGTTTCACCATGTTAGCCAGGATGATCTGGATTTTTGACCTTGTGATCTGCCTGCCTTGGCCTCCCAAAGTGCTGGGATTACAGGAGTGAGCCACCGTGCCTGGCCTAGGTTTTACATTTTATATTTAGCAAGCTAATTCATGCTTTACGACAAAATGCTTGTTCTCAAGGCAGTGTTTTCTAAGAGGAAATGAAGGGAACGAGAAAGAAAGAAAAAAGAGCAAAGAGGGGCAGGAGAAATGGAAAAGTGGTGATGGGAAGTGGCAGGAGAGAGAAAGCAAGCTACTATGCCACTCAGGGACACAAACACTGCTTAGTTTTGAGTGTGCCTTTACTTCCACGTCGTGGTGCTTAATACATCTTACAGGACAAGGAAACTTTACACAAAGGCTAATTTTAGGGTATTGACAGCTTGCCAACATTAGTATTTACCATACTTCCACTGCCACATGATATAGTAATATCTATTATTCATACAGGAAAATTCCACATAACACACAAGCTTAAAATTATAACAGCTTGTCAATTGAAGTTTACTTAACTGGATTAAGTCAGTGTTTCTTTAATTTGGCTAAGAATACACAATCATCTGGAGCGCTTGTTAAAAATACAGTTTCCTAGTCCTGGAAATAGAGGGATTTAACAATCTATTTTGACAAAGGTCCTGGTTGATTAGGTAAGTTTGGTAAATATAACTTAAATATACAATAGCTTTGAAAAACTGTATTTACTCTGTTATATGAAACACCAAATGTCATTGTTTCTTAGCATAACAAAAAAATTGTATTCACAAATGTGTCTGCTATTCTCAGTGTTGTCTCTGCTACTGCTCGAGTCTTCCTTTTCTCCTTCACCTTGCCACTGAGGGTCAACATTAATCTTGTTTTTTAACTGTAGCCCCTTTAGAAGCCTTTACCAACTGAGATGAGGCCCCATCCCAAGAATGTTACAGAGTCTCCATTTTTCCACGTGGTCCCAGGGCGTGACTGCCAGCCAGCAACCAGTTAGGGCACATTTTAGCAGTTCGTTGCCAATGTCTTTAAAACATTATCTTCTGAAGTCATTACTTCATATATAAACACCAAGTCATTACTGCATGTACAGAACTTTTCCCCTATGACACAGGCTATATGTCCATTAAAAAGGCACCTAATGTGTGACTTTTTTTTTTTTTTTAAAGCAACAGCTCCACACATTCTTCTCCATACAATTATCAACGATTCTACAGCAAGTTTGAAAACCTCTAGCCTTTCTCTTGAACTGATACAACCAAATCAGACAGCATTCTCTCTCTGGGTACTATGTACAGCTTTAAACACTACTCTTTATAAACACATCCCTATTTCTAGTTCAAGGATCTATGCTACGAAATCCAGATGAATTGGTAGAGTTAAAGTTCTGACTGGCTAAATTCGTTATATTGTATAATTTTGCTACCGTGGACTAATCCATTAAGCATTTACTGAGTACCAAATCAGAGCTAACTTAACACTTTAGGTTAAAACATTATCAAGAAACAAGCACAGGCCGGGCGCGGTGGCTCAAGCCTGTAATCCCAGCACTTTGGGAGGCCGAGGCGGGTGGATCACGAGGTCAAGAGATCGAGACCATCCTGGTCAACATGGTGAAACCCCGTCTCTACTAAAAATACAAAAACATTAGCTGGGC